AATTGAACGTTATTCCGAGTAATAAATTCCACAAGGCCTTACAGCAGTCCGCCATCGGTCGAACAAGGGAACAAGTGTCTCCCCTTCAAAATTGTCAGATTTCCGAGTCGGAAAAAGGTACGCGCTTAAAACTGTTGACAGTTGTGGTAATATTTATCCCTTAAGAAGTGAGCCAGGGAACGGAACAGGTGAAAAACCGTAGGTGCAAGATTTGCCGAACAGGGTGAATAACGGTCGAGGAATTCCTCGACCATCGCTCTCTGCTGTGCGAGAGTAGAGCCGATAGTGAATGTACGCGCGGAGAGCACAGACGGCTCGCGGGTGGCGAGAGTGAATATCCGCGCGCGAGAACGTAAAGGATCAGGCGAAAATCCTCGACGTGCCGTTGAGGAAGTCCTCAGGCAATATTCACCCTGCTGCCGAATATGGAGGATAAGGAAAGACCGTAAATCCAAGTTCCGCCGATGTGTCCTGGGTTACCCTTCCAGCATGTGGTCGCGCGCTGTCATGAAGAAGAACTTCGTCCAGCTTCGGGCGACGTTTCGCGAATTCAGCCGCGAGCCTTCGTGGTTGTGAGCAGTACACCTCAGCGTCGACGGTGGTATTGTCTGGCATCTCGTAATGATGTGTTCCCCGAACACTCCACCAAACTGACAGAGGAACTTTCTTGGGATGAACCTCCTGCTTTGGAACAGGCTCTGGCTTCTGGTTCGCACCCATTCCACTGTCTTCTTCTGGTATGACATAGGTGAGACTCCCCCTTTTTCTCCTCTTCTGTGACAATCCGAGGCATTGGCGACTCCTTGCATAGAAAACTTTGCAACGCATGATACTTTTTTGATTGCTGCTTTATCTCATGCAGGATCCATCGACCAAGTTTCTTGACTTTTCCCAGTGGCGAGCACGACCTATGGCCAAGTCGAAGCATTGCATCTCATTTCCAGCTTCTTGTCGCTTGCATGCGGAATTTCTTGAAGTAGCAGCTTCAAATGTTGATAAATTGACTTTGTTGGAACGTCCATCTCCGAGGTTGTAGTTTCCTTCGCGTAGTTTCCTTCGCGGAACCTTTTGAGCCAAATTTGGCAGGTCTTCGCACTTACCATCCTCTACTCCCTCAGAGCATATAATGCGGCAGGCTTCTCTTGCTGTGTGTTCCAGACAAAATTCGAAAAGGCAGTGGCGTACATTCGAAACATATAGCATTTCCCAGGCTTCAAAAAATCGCGCAGAAGGCAAGACTCGAGAATATGAGGGAATATTACTATCCCTATGTATGCTTCCAAAACTTTGCTTGCAGGTTGACGCGCAGACGTTTGTCAAGGTCTGTGAATAATTCCGCGTTGCCACCTAGTTATTTGTGGATAAATGAATTTGAACGAAGTTGTGGTCGTCCGAAGGCTGACTCGCATGTGCACATTAGAAAATTTGGTATTTTGATTACCTGAGCATCGTCTGCAGCTGTGCTCTTCTAATGCTCCGTTGAATGGCACTCTGTAAGCTCACTTTGTAAGATATAAAAATGTGACACAAGGGCATTAACAATTAACATTTAACCAGAGCATTTCTTTTATGACGATATCAAAAAAAATTCATCAAATACAATCGAAGTCCTATGGAGAAACACGTGATTGCTATTCATTTGCTATCAAAGGCTGAACGGCCTGTTTTAAGAATAAACAGAAAACCTATCATGTTTACGAGATGATATTTGGTGTTTATGAAATTACTATTTATTCAACACATTTTCTATTTGGAAGTTTTTTTGAAGCACCTTGAACCGAAAATTTTTGTTGGACGAATGTATCGTTTTCACTAGCAGTGTACATCAGGATTGCTGCCGATGTAAGAGCTGTCTGTCCAGAATATCGCGAAATTTGGAAAAACGATATTTTTGTTTTTTTTTAAGTTTTCTACAACAGAGTGATCACGAATTTTCGCAGACGCGTCGAAATTCATAAGGTTGATCGCCCGAGAAGGCCCACTAGTGCCATAGTATTGCAGAAACAAATAGACTATGGAAAAACCTTGCTTAAACGATTAGCGTTCGTGCTTCAGGTTCTGTTGTTAGGTCTTTCAACACAGATATATAATACCGCTCGATATTACGTACTGAGTCTGGCACGAGCTCACACCCCCCGTAAAAGAATATTAGGAAGGCCTTCAACTTTATAAATGAGCCGCAGCTTGTTGCCGCAATGAGTTTCTAAAAGTTCTACTCTCAGGTGCTAAGCAAGGGAACACGGTCGAGGATTCCTCAACGGCACGTCTAGGATTTTCGCCAAATCGTAGCGTAACTCTTTCACCCTGCCAGGCAGGGTGAAAATCGTGTCGAGGAAATAACCGCCTCTTTACGACCCCCCTCCAAAACATGGACTCTGATACGACCCCTTTTTGTCCTCTGCACATCCGGTTTCATATCAAAAAATGCTAGTTTCAGATGTGCGAGAGGGACGCAGCGCCACTGCCACGCAAATGCGGCTTGATCCAAATGCTAGATTCAATTCTGCTCAGATTAGGTTCTCCTTCTTTCCTTTAAAGACATTTAACCTTTGCCACATTGGCCGGAAAGTAGAACATTGAAGGAGGTACTGCCCCTACACAGTTGAACAGTCTCGCGCTCCAGTATAGCGGCGCTAACTACCCGCGATCGCGTCGCGCGCTGTGCCTAGAGCGCGCTAGTTGGAAAAATCGTCAAATGTACCCCCTATTCAAAGGACTATAACTTTCTTCATTGATAACCATTTCAGAAAGTGAAGGCAGCTTTTGAATGCACAAGACTTCTAGTTTCTAAATTGTGCTGAGCGTTTTTCTAAGCACGCCTATTCTCGAGAGTGGGAGACGTCGAGAAATTGTCGAGGAAATTGAAATTTACATGCGAGTTCCCACTCTTTGGAAGCAGTAGCTGTCTTCATTGGCAATGCTTTGAAAATCGGAGGAAAGCGTTGTAAAGTAGAAGATTTACGCTTTCTGATAGGTGCTCCAGTTGTTTCGAACGCTTTCTAGTTCGCGAGAAATCTGCGTCGAGGAAATGTCAAGGAAATTTTCGAAGCCACTCGAAAACTCTATTACTCCCTCGCCGTAGTAGGGAACTTCTTTGAACACCTTCAAAATGCTTCTGTACACGTCAGTTCGATGGAGTAAATTGAAAATGATGCACTTGGCGCAGATCCATTCCGTTCTTGTATGCGCCATGCAGTGACCCCACTCGGAGTCATTGGGAAGGTGTTTTGTCCTAGTGACGACTTGCTTAAGCACACCAAAAGATATTTCCAGTATTAACTAATTAGGATAACTCTTGTGGTCATATTGATGTCTTTTCATTCCTTTATTCAAATCGCTTCCTTTCCGTTCTGATGAATGACACGCTTGCGGTTGCAGGATCTGATGATGCCAAGAAGGCTGCGAATCTGCCTGTTTGAACTTTCTACCAAGATGCTGTTCCTCCACTAAGTTCTCGAAGCATGTACATCATTCTAGAGTAGATACTCGCTGCCCTCTTCCTACGATTCTTTTGCAGGACGTTGCCTTTCCTATGCCATTCTGGATCACTACGAACCAAACAACAACGTTCACATTTTGATTAAAATCAACAGTTGTAAGATATTGTTTGCATTAGGCTAACTACAACACTTTGAACTAATGATGACAGCAAATAAGTGGCAGCAGCACCGTTGTGTCCGCGTTGATGACGAATTTTGATTGCGACCCCCTCCCAGCTCTCATCGGTAGCAAATACGACCCCCTGTCGAGGATTTCCTCGACCGTTATTCACCCTGGCTGGCCAGTATGGTCATTGGTAGACCCATTCTCATGATGAGCGTGGAGAGGTGAATGACACCAATGCAATGATCTTGGGATGCTAGGTGAATGACACTGCTGCGCTGATCTTGAGTGAGACGAGAGAATGAGACTATGCTCATGACTCCTTTCACTTATATCTTAAACGATGCTCTAGACGGAGTTATAAAGTGAAAACTCACAACATTGGTCCGACCTCAGACGCAGGAGTCAGTAAATCGACTCCAACTTTGCCTACAGACGCCCTTACGAAAAGGAAAGACTTTTGCAATAACAATGACATGGAATGTAAGTGCGGTGTATGCTTCATACTTCTCGTTAAAAACAGATGTCCACGATAAGGTGAAGGTCCTAGGTAAGGCAAAAGTAGCCAGTGAAGGACTTCCAGAGATGCGGCATCAGCAATTCGCAGCAGAGGTAAGTTCTCGGTGACCCTCTCCAAGCGCATCGGCACGATACACTGTATCTGCTAACACCGCCGCAGACCCGTAGCCGTTAAGCAGAGAGAGCGTTAGCGTTGAAAAGGGCTGACCAATGAGAGTCGCACAAAAATCAACGGACAAAGCGGAGGTAGTATTTGCCAGGTTCTAGGCTGTTTCTCATGGTTTTGAGTTCATACCTGCACCACTGACCACCTCAACCCTTATTTTTAATGAGCTGCGTTGTCATCACGAAATCTTCTTGACATCCTTGTTAGCATAGCATCGCTTAACAACTATGGAAAAAGCTCTGAGCTCTCAATGCAATGACAAGACTTCATTGCAAACGTTTGAGCCGACATGTTAATGTTCCTAAGTACCGCGAGCTTTCTTGCCCAATCTTTTGAGGCCCAGTCTGTGCAAACTCTGGTCAACCCAAGTTGATGATGTGTGTTCGCTTGGACTACGAGGCATGGAATCGCCATTTAACTAAAGATGAACGGAACGATGTACCAATGGTAGAGCGCTTGCTCATGAATATGGACTTGCTTAGCACTTAAACGAGCTCAACTCTTTTTCTCTATGTCCTGACTATTATGTAGGTGCTGATTTTAGCTCTTCTCGGTGATCTGAAGAGGATCACCTCTCCCACTTCATGTTGAAATGTTCACTCACATTTGCACTTTATAACATCTTTACACTTATGTTATCAAATGAAATACAAATACTTTCACATTTCATAATTCCTGATGTGGAATACTGTTCTGCCAGCGTAGTAGCTGTTCAAATCTTCAGTGATGTTAAAAGAGCGCCAGTTGATGTATGAATGTTACTGGAAAGTTTTGCGCAATCACGATAGTATTTGAAGTAGTGATTCCAAGGGAGCCTTGTCAGATTCCGCAGTTGTCCATATTGGTTTTCGAGTCTTAGGAAGTCCGTAACCTGAATTAATTAGGATTAATCGAATGGATGTTATCAGTCAACATAGTCGATATCTCGCCGTTTGATTGTGTTTAGTAGCCATGTCTCGGGACTTGCCGCGGTGATCGCCGCACTTGTGCCCTTGGTAGAAGTAGCATGGTTTTGCTGGTTTTCAGGAAAGTATTATGAAAGCAGCTTATCCACGCGATTTCTACCCCATTCGGTGGCTGCCACGTCACCTAAGGTGGCACGCCTAACCAGACGGCCAGATATGAATTGTGCGTACGGCACGATTGATTTTTCAGTTTTGATCGTGCACCGTATGCGCTTACATTTTTTATGGAAAAGAAGGATTAAACACCAAACGGCTTGGCGGTCGAATGTTGGGGTACACTAGCGTTATTGCGGCGCCGTCACGTTGACTCTGCAAAGAAAATACTTAGATAAAGTGAAGATTATCGTGGTCCATCTTCGAGTCTGAAACATGAAATCGTGGTACAGTATTCGCTTTTACACACCATATCTGTGAGATTACTTGTCGGCTCATTTGTTGGATATATAAGTCGAGGCTCACTTTTCCAGGATACATCATGGCGGTCACGGACTATCGCATGTTGTTCCTACGGTCTGTACAGGCTAGTGCACAGTTGAGGTTGAAGAAATACCATTGTGCGGCTCGGTATAAAAGTGGTCATGGTTGAGACTTACGGGTATATCTGAAATATGAAATGCAAAGGAGAATTGGAATGAATAAAAGTCTACGCACTGGGATGGCCTTTTGGAATCTTTAAGTACGCCTCGATGTGAAAACCTCACAACAATTTAATGAAATCACCATGTTATTGAGCAGAAGCTGCTTGTAAAAACTCAGCGATCGTCATGCTCGAAAGAGCCCGCTGATTGACCTAACAGTAAGGGCACCCCACTCAAATGCCGGTCGCGTTTTATTAATTTTTGCGGCAAAGCTGGCGTTTACATTTCAACAACTCATAACGGCAAAAAAGGCGTGGAATTTGAAAGCGGTAACTGGCACAAGCCGCTCCCGCCCAAAAACATGTATGACATTTGCAGTAGTCGTTTGAATGCGAATGTGGCCTATACAATGACTTGCGGGGGCCAGCCGATGTACAAGTCAGTGTTTTTATCCTCCCAGACAAGTCTGGTACCAATTAACCGACCCCGGAGGGATGGAAGGCTTGGTTGGCCCGGGCGACTCACGACCCAGGATTTGATCCCCGGACCGCTCGCGTGGTAAGCGTGCCACTTGCCACTACACCACTTCCGCCCTTTTAGGAGGTTGAAACAGGTGTCCATTTCCCTCTCTGTTGAGCAAACGACAAGCAGTCGTCTATGTAACGACAGTATAGGGCGGGTCGGCGGCTTTTCTATCTTAGACATGTAGGCGATGGCTAGTACTGGTGCCAACCGCTGACCCATGGCCAACCCTCTGATCTGCCTGTAGTATTGCCCAGACCACCTGAAGATGGAGCAGTCAAGACACTCGCTGACAAGTGTCATTCACTTGGGTGGTCGAGAGGCCGTACATGTTTATGGATGCCTCGTGCTCACTAAGCAGCTCAAAGGTGGCCTGCATGGCATCCTTGTTTGACACGTTGGTGTACAGGGAGGTAACGTCGAAGGATTCCATGACGTGGTTCCGTCTGAACCTGGCCTCACGCAATCGGTCAAGGAACTTGGTGGTATTAGTGAGGTGGGCGGGGGGATAAACGGTAGCAGTTGCACCAGTACGAGGTTCAGCAGCCACGATATTCTATCGGTGGGTCCCCCGATGCTGCTTATTATGGGGCGACCTGGAAATTTGAGGGGTCATTTGAAGACAGGGTGGTCTGCGAGAGCTTGTGTGTTTTTAGGAGGACATAGAGGACCGGACAACTTGGAGGTCGCATTTTAGACGATCTTGGCAACTGCGCAGCCCGCTACATCCATCCAAGCCCTGTTGAGCTTTCGGTATTGCTTCTTGAATTCTGTCTCCGATGAGGGTCGATAGAGACTTTCATCCTGGAGGTGGGCTTTTGTGATAGCAATGTCTAGTTCTTGGGGCAGTACCACAAATTCGCCTCCTTTATCACTGACGGACACCTTGATCTGATTGGAGCGTATGAGATCCTTAAGCTCTCTCAGTCCTTGTTTTTTTTGTGCACCAGTGAGATTGGATGGAAACCGCTTTTGACTGTTGCGACTCATTATGGTGTAGACTGAAGTCGCGAACAAACGGAAGCTGACATCCACTGAGGGGTCGGGGTCCTGGGGCCTGAAGAAAAGGGAGGGGAAAGGTATTGGGGGGATGTTTGACCCTGTTAATGGTTGTTGACCTGCATCCCTTCGTTTTGGCCTTGAGGCGAAGACTGTCCTGAAGAGTTTGTAGTGCTCCAAGGATCTTGCGCGATACCCCATGACCTATTGATTGGTCTGGGAG